TGGCTGGAATCCAACTCAAATCCCTGACATGGAGGGAGTGTTCTAATGTGGTGTTTATGTAGCTCCCCAAACTTTAATACAACTGCAGTCCAGATAACTTGACCCTGGCTTAACTTGTCACAGCAACAACAAAAACTTGTTTACACTAAATGTATAAGCGATCGGATAACTCACCATGACCCACAGTGAACATAACAATAGTTAGTTTCCACATATAACCTGGAAGTATAGTATCTTTAATAAACTGCAGTACATGTCCTGAGAAATACAGAGTTTCCAATACAGTAACAGAAATAAGTGATAGGAAACAGAAAATAAGCGACTTTAGACAATAAGCCTATATCTTACACAAGTTTTACAAATAAACCGACAGTCGTGGGCACCGCTCTGTCAAATTGACAGCTGCTCGCTCTGTGCATGTGGAGTCTATCATGGTATATGCAGTACATCGTCACAGCATCCCTGGTGCCCCAGGAGGACCTATGCCCAACTCTCCACTCGAGATAACTTGGTGCTGAGCCCTTTTTCCTTGGAGAGATGAGTTATCAGTTTACTGTATTCCTGTAATACCTTGCAGGCTGGTTGCTAACAAGGAAGCTCAGAAACTGTATTGCACAAAGGTGCCCACACAAATCTATTATAGAACAGAGTACAACAACAACAACAACAAGATTCCATTTATAAAGCGCCTTTCACGTCGGGAGGACGTCCCAAGGTGCTGCACAGTTGGGTCATGACCCGAGCAGGGGGGAAATGGTCAGGGTGAGGGGAGGGAAGGGAGGGAGCGAGGAGGGGGAAGAGAGTCGAGAGGGGAGCTGAAGGCACGGTCAAAGAGAAAGGTTTTGAGACCGGCCTTGAAGGAGGAAAGGGAGGAGGCGGCGAAGGCACTGGGGGATGGAGTTCCAGAGCTTAGGGGCTGAGAGGCTGAAGGCCCGACCACCGATGGTAGGGCGATTGGGGCGGGGGACGTGGAGCAGACCGGAGCCAGAGGAACGGAGGGTACGGGCAGGTAGGTAGGGGGATAGTAGGTTGGAGAGGTAGGAGGGAGCAAGGCCGTGAATGGCCTTGTAGGTGAGGATGAGGATCTTGAAATCAATCCTCTGGGGGATGGGGAGCCAGTGGAGGCGAGCGAGGGTGGGAGTGATGTGGTCCCGAAGCCTGGTGCGGGACAGTACACGAGCTGCAGAGTTCTGAATGACCTGCAGCTTGTGGAGGGAGGTGGCGGGAAGGCCGGCGAGGAGAGAGTTCCCATAGTCCAGCCTTGAGGTGACAAAGGCGTGGACCAGGGTTTCAGCAGCGTGAGGGGTGAGGTAATGCCGTAGTCTGGCGATGTTCCGGAGGTGATGGAAGGCGGTGCCAGTTGTGGTGCGGATGTGAGGGAGAAAGGACAGCTCAGGGTCGAACAAAACGCCGAGGTTCCTGACTGGCTTTGAGAGGTGGAGAGTGCAGCCTTGGATGCTGATGGTGTCAGCGCCTGAGGTGCGGAGGCGCTGACGTGAGCCAATCAGGAGGGCCTCGGTTTTTCGCACGTTGAGCTGAAGAAAGTTGTCTCTCGTCCAGGACTCGATGTCGGACAGGCAGGCTGTCAGGACATCGGTGGTCGTGGAGTTGAGAGTAGAGGAGGAAAGGTAGAGTTGGGTGTCATCCGCATACATGTGGAAGTTAACTCCATGTCTGCGGATGATGTCACCAAGGGGGAGCATATAGAGGGTGAAGAGGAGGGGACCGAGGACAGAGCCCTGAGGGACACCACATGAGACAGTGCGGGGGGTGGAGGAGAAGCCATTCGTCGAGACAAAGTGAAGACGGTGAGAAAGGTACGACCTAAACCACTCAAGGACAGTGCCTTGAAGGTTGAGGTGGGAGGACAAGCGGTGGAGGAGGATAGCGTGGTCGACCGTATCGAATGCTGCCGATAGGTCGAGGAGGACGAGGAGGCAGAGGGAGCCCTGGTCACAGATGGTCAGGATATCATTGGTGACCTTGACCAGGGCAGTTTCTGTGCTATGGGCAGCACGGAAACCTGACTGAAGGGGTTCGAAAAGTGAATGGGTGGAAAGGAAAGAGCGCAGTTGGGAGGCGACAACTCTTTCCAGGACCTTGGAGAGAAAGGGGAGGTTGGAGATGGGCCGGTAGCTTGATAGCTGCGACGCATCAAGGGAGGGTTTTTTCAGGGTGGGCGTGATGGTGGCAGTTTTTAAGGGAATGGGGACAGAGCCAGAGGAGAGGGACAGGTTGATGATGTCTGTGATATGTGGGGCAAGAAAGTGGAGCTGGGAGATAAGGAGTGGAGTGGGGATGGGGTCAAGGGAGCAGGTGGTTGGTTTTAGGGATAGGATGAGTTTGGTGACAGAGGGTGGGGAAACGGGTACAAAAGTGAGTAGGGGAGGATGGGTAGCAGTCGGAGTGTGGGAGGAGGGGGTGGGGGGTTGGTGGATGTTGGAGGGGAAGTGACCGCGGAGCGAATTCCCTTGATCTTGGATTCAAGGAAATCCAGCATCTCCTCGCAGTGAAGGTTGGAGGAGATGACCTGCGCGGGGTGGCGGGGGGGACGGAGGAGTCGGGTTGTGGTGGAAAACAGTAGCCTGGGGTTGTTCTTCGCCTCCAGGATTATCCTGGAGTAGAAGGACGACTTGGCCGAGGCTAGAGTGGAGCGGTAAATTTTGAGGAGGTCCAGCCAGATTTGTCGGTGGACCGTTAGGCCAGATTTGACACAGGTGCGTTCAGCAGCCCGCACCTGGCTTTTCAGTGAGCGGAGGTGGGTGGTGTACCAGAGGGAGGAGCGGGAGTAGGAGACAGTGCGGGAAGTGATGGGGGCAAGAGTATCGAGTGTGGAGGAGAGGGCATTGTGGAGGAGGGAGAGGAGAAGAGGGGTCGGTGAGGGTTGAAGGCCAGAGGGAGAGGAGTTCAGAGGACTCCAAGGCATCGGTTAGGGATTGTGGGGGTAACTTCTTCCAAGGGCGGTAGAAGATGGTGGTGGGTCTGGTGGAGGTGGGGAGGGGGGTGGAGGTGGTGAAGGAGATGAAGTAGTGGTCAGAGATGGCCTTGTCGGTAATAGTGACATCCGAGACACTGAGGCCCCGGGTGATCACCAAATCGAGTGGGTGGCCGTGACTGTGAGTGGGGGAGTTTATGTGTAAGGAGAGGTTGAGTGAGGAGAGCAGGGAAGAGAAGTCTGTGGAGATGGAGCAGGAGGGGGTGAAGTGTAGGTTAAAGTCGCCCAGGATGATGAGGCGATCAGAGCAGAGGCAAAGAGATGTGAGGAGTGTTGAAATGTCAGAGATGAAGGTGGGAGAGGTTTTAGTGGGCCGGTTGAGGAGGAGGATTTTAAGGGAGAGGAATGAGGGGTGGGAGAGGGTGAGGTGCTCAAAGGAGGGGAAAGAGCCAGTGGAGTAAAGGGATAGGGCAAGTGGTGTCCTTGAGTACAGATACAATCCTAAGGTGAAGTCTCAATATTAACATCTTAATAGCTGAATTGCTAATAGTGTCAGCTGCAAAAAATAATTAACTTTGTTGTGGGCTCAAGGTTAACATTATAACTTATTTTTACCTTTCCATGCTAATGTTGGTGACTTAATATTATAATAACAATCCTTACATTTGATATAGAACGTATAATATCAGGAACATCTTAAAAGAGCTTCACAGAGTTCCCTGTAAACTGTTGTGAGTGTAGGTGAAAACTGAGAAGCACATATTTTATTTTAGAAAGAAAACTGACTAAATATTTAAAGTACAATTGGATTTTGCATGGTAGGTAGTAGATAATGGCATGTCGTGTCAATTTGTAATGTTGAATAAAAGTTAGGATTCATAATTATACTTGTCTGATCTTCTTGAATTTAGATGAAGAACATTGATGTTTTTTATTTTTAGTCATTGCCAGCAATGCCTGAAGCAACCAGGAAATGACATGTGTGGCAATCTTACAAACTAGAAGTTGGCCATCTTTGTAATTCAAAACATGATAAACCAAAAATATTCCAAAATGATATGATAAACCAAATATATGTCCTTTTACAATGTCCCTTTAAAGAAGTGAAAGTACAATAGCATTAACAACTTTTGCAAGGAGTCCACTGTAGATATTGCATGACGTTTGAAGGCGGCGAAAGAAGAGAAAGAACTGTTCTATTCTATGGTCAGCCCTGCCAATATACATTCTCTGGTTCTACAAAATCAGTAGAAGTAGAATAACATAACACGGTTTGCATCCACATTAACTATTTCTTTCAGCATGTTAAAGATTCGCCTTCTCTACATTGTCTTCTATCCAATGATTCAGATCTCTCAGTTTCCCCATTAATTTTTGAATTCACAAAATCATCCTTAAAACATCTCTCTGAAGACCTAGAACACATTAATGTCCTTCTGAAGCAAGAATGGCTAATGCTGATGACACTATTTCTACACAACCTTCCATCATAATTTGGATCAGTGGATGTTCTGTACTCTTCCTATCCATACAACAACAACAACAAAATTACATTTGTATAGCTCCTTTCATATCGAGAGGACTTCTTAAGGTTCTGGACAATCAGTGGGGGTCGGGATTGGGGAGGGTGGAGGGCTGGGGGAGAAGGAGGGTGATCGAAGGCACGGTCGAAGAAGAGGGTCTTGAGACAGGTCTTGAAGAAAGCAAGGGGGGGGGGCACGATGGAGGAACTGCGAGATGGAGTTCCAGAGGGTGGGGGCAGAGTGGCAGAAGGCCCACCCGCCAAAGGGGAGGGTGAGGCAGGGGTCTTGAAGCAAGCCGGAGCCTGCTGAGCGGAGGGTTTGGGCGAGTTGGTAGTAGGTTGGAAGTCGCCGAGACAGAGATGGTGAGGAGCAAGGCCATGTAGGACTTTGAAAGTGATACAGTTGCACTGGAGTCAATATTATTTGTTCCATTAATGCATTTCTAAAACTGTGTCCATCAAAAGACATTTAAATTTTACAATTTTTCATAATTAAATCATAAATGTTTCATATCTTCAGCACTTTTTAAAAAAAATCCATACCTTCTGTGCTCAGGCCAGGACTGGAGGTGAATTTGGCCACATCTACAATCTTCACAGCAAACTGCTGTCCAGTTTCTCTGTTGATACATCGTCGCACAACACTGAATGGTCCCCTGCAAAGGATGCAAAATATGTTTTCAGTACACCTTAGTTTGTTTAAGCTTATGTTGACACTGCGCCTATTCAATAGCATAACCACTCATTCTTTCAACAAATGGACATATTCAACGAATGAACAGCAGGACATGACAGAAAATCAATACCAGGGTATGTTTTTTTTGGATATACACCAGAAGCAGCTTTTTAAATACAGTAAATTCCAAATAACTCAACTCTGGCTTAACGTGTCACTACCACTTCAGTCTTAATATGTGACTGCTTCCCATGCAAAATGTTAATAAGGGACTCCACGTTACACGCAACTCATTGCATTCTAAAAATTGTTGTAAGTACTCACAATGTAAAACAGATAACTCCTCTTAAAAGATGGCATCTTACATCGCAGAGCCCTTCCGCCCTATTCTGTGACTGGATGCTCAATGGAGATTGGGCGCACGTGCACAGATTCATCGTAGAGGCCTCTGGTCTATTAGAGGACCGTGCTGTGGCCTCCTACCCCACCCTATCCTGTGACAAGATAGGGCAGGAGCCCATAGAGCCCTCCAATACATCAGAGGCTTCTGCGACAGGATAGGACGGAAGGCCACTATACAAGCCTCCAATAGACCAGAAGCCCCTGCAATGCATCTGAGCATGTGTGCCCAACCTCCTTTAAGCGCCTGCACCTCTTGGGGCCTGGAAGTCTAACTACCCAATCAGGATAACTGGTCACTGAGCCCTTTTCCCATGGAGTGATTAGTTATTTTGTGTTTACTGTATTCTGCATTTTCAAATTGGTAACTTGACATATGTGTGCACTGAATCTATGACAAAGAATTAAAGAACTAAGACAGCACGCACTCTAGTTTTTGTAACAGTAATTAAAAATGTATTTAAATATCACAGACAAATTCTTATTCTGTTTCTCTTTAATGTGTTGAACATATGATTACTTTTATCAAATATGGTTGTACTTCAAAAAAAATTACAGCACTCTTTTTTGGTTAAATTATTTTCCCAAACTATAGTACATAGTTCTCACTTTAGGAGGTTAAATACTCTTCAAGTGAATTATGCAATTTTAAATGTTTCATAAAAATGACTAAAACAGATAGAATCTCCACTGACTGCTTTCACTCATTCATGCCAGTTCTGCACACATTTCTTTCAATCACATGACCAGTGGCTGCATTTCAATTTTAGTTGATTAAATTGATAGAACTGAAGTGATACTCCAAATGTCTCAACATCAGAGCCCCCAAAAATCTGCATGATTATCAAACCAGCTTTTCATTTGCAGTTAAGAGCTACATACATCCATTAAATACGAAAGGGAAAAAATGAGACTTAGTATATGTTATAAAGTAAATAAAAGTATGTCAACATTTTGTCAAAAGTACTGTCACAGTATTTAATGTACGGATCTACAAAGATCCTATATATTCAATATGGTGCGGGATCAAATCTTACACATTCAATAAAATGCCGCCTGTATATCAGGAGGAGAATGGCAGTGCAAGTCAAACAGTTATTGAAATTCGCATAACATTAACTCGTAAAAAAATAAAGTCTACCTACATTAAAGCCATATTTGAAATAAAAGAAAACCACCACCACCAAAATGATTATATCAAACTAAGAGATTAAACATGCTCTTAAAAAACTACAATCACTAAACTTTACACTATATTCTTTGAAACATTTTGAGATATCCTCCCAATTTGAAAGGCGCAAAATTAAACCAAAGATTATAATAATAATCATAATTGTTATTGATAAATAAGACTAAAATCTCAAAATAATTAGTATGTTTCCATCTCCACACATCTGTATATCTGTGTCATTTTCTGTCGCATTCCTGGTCTTAACTGGTTTGAATTTGAATGTGATAATGGAACTTACACAACCAATAGTATCCTTATATTTGGTATTGCTTCTTTCACGGAGAGATGTCCTGAAGCACTTCACAGGATTTGCTGTAAAGTGCAGTCACTGTGTGTTTTGTGGACAAATACTCATTAGAAAGTAAATACTAAACACTAATAACTGGTGTTCAGATACCGCAATGGGAGTGATTATCAATGAAGCAAAACATAAGAACATAAAAAATGCTTGACGAATAAAGACCAAGGTCCATCTAGTTCACCTTCCACCTTCCTTGCGGTCGCATATGTCCCGAACTACTTATGCACTATATTCCATAATGTTATTTCCTAAAAGAAAGCTATCTAATCTGTGTTTGAAAGAATCAACACTTCCTGCTTCAACTGTCTCCCTAGAGTTTGTTCCACTATTCAGTCACTAAAATAGTGTTTGCGTGGATTTGTTCTGAATTTACCCCCTTTCAATCACAGACTCTGGTTTTTATTCTGGACAAGTTGAAACAGCCTGTCATGATCTATATTGTTTTGCCCCTTTAGAATCTTAAAGACAGCAATCATGTCGCCTCTCAATCTTCTCTTTTCAAGTGTCAACATGCCCAATTTACTTAGTCACCACTCATAGTCCAGTCCCTTTATTCTCTCAATCATTTTGGTTGCCCTCCTCTGCATCTTCTCGATTTCTCCAATAACCTTTTTGTATTGCGGTGACCAGACCTGTGGTCCTACTTTGGCAGGATTACCCCACTATTTTGGCTTGCTGTTGATCTTTTGATACATCCCAACATCTGTTTTGGGAGATATCAAAAGATCAACTCCACATTGAATTTCATCTGCCACCGATCTGCCCAATTCCCAAGTATGTTCAAATCCTCCTGTAATCTATCTTGTTCAGCTTCGCAATGTACCACCTTCATTGGTACATGGGACTGCCCCCCCTACCTTCCACCTTCCTCTCAGATATCTCCACCCTCCTATCTTCCCTCTCCCTCTGCTCTGAACGCCTCCTAATCCTAGGCAACTTCAACCTCCACTTCACCCCCTTCTACTCTACCTCTGCCGACTTCTCCTCCCTCCTCTCTTCCCTTAACCTCTCCCTCCTCATCCACTCCCCCACCCACGACCGTGGCCACCCCCTTGATCTGATGGGACTGCCCCCAACTCCTCACTGAGCCTCACCAGCCCAGCGTGCTAACCGTGGCTCACTGAACACTCCTGCCCGCTCTGAGTCTCAGCGTGCGCACATTGACTGCCGCAATTGACCTGAGCTGTTTCCCCAAGAGATTCCCGACCCTGTCCCCTTCCCTCCACTACTTCGGCTCAACCCTCCTCTACCTCCGCCTGCCCCGAATCCTATCCCTCATCAACTCCTCCACGGCCTCCTTCTGCTCCTCCCTTCACATTCTCCGTCATCCCACCGTGGTAGACGCCGTCGGCTGTCCTACAGCACCCCCCCTGACTGCCCCTTCCCCCACTCTCGCCGCAAGGCCCACCGGCCCTCACCCACAGGAGCCAACCTTTCCTCCCTCACTCACATCCCCATCCAACCCGTCTGCCCACCCCCTTTCCCCCCTCATCCCCCCCACACTCCCACCACTAACTGTCCCCTCCGCATTGGTCTGCAGAACGTCCGCTCATTAACCAACAAGTCCCTCACAATCCATGACCTCACCGTCGAGGAAAATATTGACATCCTCGCCCTCACCGAAACCTGGGTCACCCCAGGCGACACCTTCCCACTAGTTGAGGCCACACCTCCAGGTTACATCTTTCACCAAACTCCACGGCCTAATCGCCGTGCTGGTGGTGTGGCTCTCATCTCCTGGTCCCCCCTTGGCCTTTCCGCTTACCCCTCCGGAACCTTCCCCTCCTTTGAACACTTTACCCTCTACCATCCCTTCAGACTTTCCCTCAAAATCCTCCTTGTTTATCGTCCCCCCAAGCCTTCCCCCACCTTCCTCTCAGACATCTCCACCCTCCTATCTTCCCTCTTCCTCTGCTCTGAACGCCTCCTAATCCTAGACGACTTCAACCTCCACCTTCATCCCCTCCTGCTCTACCTCTGCCGACTTCTCCTCCCTCCTCTCTTCCCTTAAACTCTCCCTCCTCATCCACTCCCCCCCACGACCGTGGCCACCCCCTTGACCTGGCGATCACCCGGGGCCTCACCTTCTCTGACATCACCATCGTCGATAAAGCCATCTCGGACCACCACTTCATCTCCCTCAACACCTCAGTACCCCTTCCCCTTTTTCAACCCTCCACCATCACATACCGTCCATGGAAAAAAATTTACTCCCTCTCCACTGCCTTGGAGTCATCTGAACTCCTACACCTCTGGCCCTCACTGACTGATCTCCCCTCCTCACTCTCCTATCTCCACAACTCCCCCTCCTCCATTCTGGACTCCCTTGCTCCCCTCACCTCCCGTAAATCCCCCTGGTACACCAGCCATCTCTGTTCCCTCAAGGCACAAATGCGAGCTGCCGAGAGCGCCTGGACCAAATCCAAACTAACGGTCCATTGGCAGATCTGGCTTCACCACACCAAGACCTACCACTGTGCTCTTGCCTCCACCAAATTCTCTTTCTACTCCAAGGTTATCTTGGAGGCAAAGGACAACCCCAGGCTTCTCTTTTCCACCACAAACCGTCTCCTCCGTCTACCTTCCCATACCTCGCCCATCCTCCCCTCAAACTCCCAACTGTGAGGAGATGCTGGACTTAAAAATCGAGTTAAAAATTGAATTTAAAATCGAGGGGATACGTTCAGTCACCTCAGCCCCATCCACAGCTTCCCCCACATCACCTTTCCCTCATGACCCACCCCCCACCCATCCCCCCCTATACTCCTTCGACCCTATCTCTCCCTCCTCCCTCACCACGACTGTCCGCAAACTCAAACCCACCATCTGCTCCCTCGATCCAATTCCCACCTCTCTCCTCATCTCCCAGCTCCACCTTCTGGCCCCTCTCCTGTCCGATGTCATCAACCTCTCCTTGTCCACCGGTTCAGTTCCCACCCCCCTAAAAACAGCCGTCATCACCCCCATCTTGAAAAAAACGTCCCTGGTCCCAGCTCTTCTCTCCAGCTACCGTCCCATCTATAACCTCCCATTCCTCTCCAAGGTCCTG